GGGAGAAGGAGAGGGAGGGAGGAGAGGGAGAGGGGGAGGGAGGAGAGGGAGACCGGAAGGCAGAGGAGAGAAGAGCAGGATCGTTGTTTGCTATTCCTGTCGGCACAAACCAGTGCAGGCCTTTCATCCTGACAGTAGCAGTTGGCTCTGGGCTCCCGGAACAAGTCACTTAGCGGCAGCATGGACAGGCCAGCTCCAGCTGTACGTAGCCCTTTTGCAGAGATCTGAAGTCCCGTTCCTTAAACCAACCCTCCGAGCCCCTGAGGCACCAACACTGGCAGGGTGGTGCCCCTCCTCCGAGCTTCTAGCTTCCGACAGCTCCAATCTCTTTCCTGTGTTGTCCCAGCCCTGCGGTTTGTTTATACCTCCTGCTCGGCCTCGTTCCCTGGTGGCCTTTTTCAGTCCTCCAAAAAGTGTTGAAACAATTCTCTATGGTAAATTCTGTTAAAAGGCCTAGTGCTGTTTCTGTCTTTATGGAGCCCTGATGAGCACATGACTAAAATAGTCACTTACCTGTCATTGAGGTGAGTGAAGGTATTTACCTTCTGAGGAGAATTTCTCAAATAACCTATCTGACACCGATCTGGGAGGCGGTATATCCCTTCTCTGGACTTCTCCTACTGCAGAACCTCCCTGATACACAGACATAGAAACTGTGGCTCCCTTGGGGTACTTGGGAGAGGGTTCCAGGGGGCTGGTGTATAATATAGAATTTGGGCTGGTCTTTGTCCTGGTTCCTGGGAGGTAACCTCTAAATCCTTGGAATTTCCCAAATAACAGGAATGTCTTTGTTATTCATGGCAGGTCCCAGGAACCACACCTGAGTTTCTGTCAGCAAGATGACCCAGGGTAGCGGCTGGTCCCACCGGAAAGAACAACCATGTCATTAGAAGGGTTGGGGCTCTGAGCCACATGATATCAGCCTGACCTGCAGAGAAAGGAAGGGGACTGGAGACGGAGTACAATCATGTGGCCAGTGATTCAATCAGTCATGCCTACGGAATGAAACCTCAATAAAAACTGGATACCAAAGATCAAATGAGTTTTCCTGGTTGGTAATTATGTATCGATGTGCTGGGAAGGAGATACATCCTGAGGACAGGAAGCTTTGCATTTGGGACCCTCTGAGACCTCTCCTCTGCATGTCTTCATTTGACTGGTCCTGATTTCTATTCTTTAGAGTGACACAGTAATTGTAAGTACAGTTGACCCTTGAACAACATGGGTGTGAGCTGCACAGTCCACCTATATGTGGGTTTTTTCAATAAACGTGGTACAATTTTGTAAATGTATTTTTTTTTATTTTCTTAGCAACATTTTTTTTTATCTCTAGCTTACTTTACTGTAAGAACACAGTATATAATATGCCTAAGACACGAAGTATGTGTTAATCCACTGTTTATGTTACCAGTAAAGCTTCCGGTCAACAGCAGGCTATTAGTAGTTATTGGGGAGTTAGAAGTTATACACGGGGGGTGCTTGGGTGGCTCAGTCATTAAGCGTCTGCCTTCAGCTCAGGTCATGATCCCAGGGTCCTGGGATCGAGCCCCACATCGGGCTCCCTGCTTCTCCCTCTCCCACTCCCCCTGCTTGTGTTCCCTCTCTCGCTGTG